AAGTCGTGAGGAGTGTGGCCTGTCAGGTGCCTGGGGACTCGATAGCTTAGATGGGATCAGGAAAGAAGGTTCAGGAATGATGCTTTATCTCGGACTCAGAAATGTAAAGGCAGCAGGTTGTGCCTGGAGCCTTCCTGCCTCGTCTCCCAGATGCCGCTGGGGTGAAGGTGTGGATGCAGGTTTTACATGTTCAGCTTCCGGAACCAGATAGAACTGCCTTTCAGTTTTCACGGCCCTGGAGGAAACAGATAACGAGTGGCAGGAAGCAGCTGCTTCTTAGTGGAGGGCAGAAACGCTCCCTCATGGAGCAACTTGGTCACCGCACGAATGTTAATGGAAAGTCCGCTCTGATGAAACATTTGGAAGCCGCGGAATGTGATTTGTTTTCATGTACTCGCTCCTCTCCCATTGTCTCTGTTGCCGGCAGATTTGATTTTTATTTCTCCAGTGATACAGAAATACTTTCATTTGGTACAAAAATGTAAACGTTACAACTCTAGGTAATTAAAAATGATCTAATTTTCCCCTCCTTGCTAATAAACTCTCTTTCAGAGCACCTTCCAGAACCCTTCCTAGGCATTTGCGTAAATGTTTATATATATTTATGTATAATTGTTTTCATTTATATAAAATGGATTCACGCATAGTCCGAATCTGAGCCATAGTTTTTTTTTGTTCGTTTTTACATTTAAAGTTGTCTTAAAGATCTTTCCATATCACTCTATTTAAACTTAACATTTTAGAAGCGACTTTTATAAAATCAAACATAATTAACTTTACCAGTAATTGAGGATCGGCTGTATGAAAATCCGGGTGTGTTTTAGGAAGAGGAGTCTGTCCTGGTCCACCCTCACGGGTGGTGAACAGCAGACTGAGGACGTTTGATGACAGGCTAGCTGGCACCTGGTCAGCCCAACAAGGCAGAACTGATCTCTTGCTATGAGTGTTTCTGAGTGAGGCACCTGTTGTACTGCAGACAGACATTTAGTCGTTTCTTATGCCAGGATCATATCAAAGTGAGAGGCGTGACACATCTTTGAGACCTCTGCCTAAGACATAAGGAGAGTGGGGGACTTGTATCTTTATCCAAAGCTTGCTTTATAATATTGCAAAGCTTAAGGGAGGTCGATCAATTTTTGACTCCAAGGCAACTTCTTTGAATTTTAACACTGAGTAGTGGGAAGACGAAATGGGTCAGATCATCATTTTAATACATTTACAGGCTGCTGACATCTCGGGAAGCGTTTGATGACAACTTGCGAAAATTGTATGGCATATTTGAGATGTCTGAACCCCAACAGACCATGGCATTTGAGGCTGCTCCCCGAAGTCCATCAGCAGTTGTCCGAAGAGCAGCAATTGCTGCTGGAATGTCGTCGTTATGAGCTCAGCGTGTGTTGTTTAGACAAAGGGGGAAGACGCCTTAATGGCTTGACAATTTGCCAGCCACCTGCTGTCATTCTTTTCCTTCAGTGCTTCGAAAGTGACCAGAACCTGGTCATTGGATCTCTTTTAAAAATAACACAGGCATACATAAAATCATAAAAGTCTAAGAAGAAAAATAATGTGATTATGGAAATATGTGCCGATTTTCCTAATCTTCTCTGTTCTTGAAGATATCAAGTCACTTATATTTCACATTGACATTTGCCACCATAAAGAAGGAAATTCTACAGGGGAGATGGACTTTAGTGGTCAGTTACTTAGATCTTTTACTGGAACTACCGTATCAAATAAGCATTAGAAGGACCTTCAAGTTTCTTGAAGATGAGAGCCTCTCATGGCCTTATAAAGAAATCATAAAGTCTAGATGTGGTGGCACATACAGTTATTTTAATCTGACTTTCAAGGAAACAGGGGCTTGTGGGACATAAAGAACTTAAGAACATGATATAGCTTCTGTTGGACGTGAAATTGCTATTTACAGTTTAGTAGTGTCCCCTCTTTGACAATGGACAGCAGGGACATGCTCGCTCAATGGCGAATAGGGCTTCTTCAGACATAGATTGACATTCTGCATTCATTCATTTATTAAGCCTCAGCTGATTTGATTGAGTAGAGAGCAGTTCAAGGAGACAGCTGTGCTCCCTTACATCTATTCCGCTCATGGGATCCTCCCACACTTGCAGCCAGTTCAAGGAGACAGCTGTGCTCCCTTACATCTATCTATTCTGCTCATGAGATCCTCCCACACTTGCAGGCTTTACTTGCCATGGGGAAGTCACACTCTATGACGAGAGCATCACCTGCAGTAGGGAGAAGGCAGAGCCAGCCTGGGGCAGAGTAGAAACCCCTCTGTGGAAATCTCACTCCAGTGCTTACTGTTGGTATGACCTTGAGCTAGCTTAGCCCTTCAGAGCTTGCTTCTCCATCTGCAAAATGGGGATAATACATCATATGGTTATTATGAGGATTAATGAGACACTGGGAGTGAATGCCAGCTCATGTCATGGAATACAAAAAGGTTCAGGAAATGGGACTTCTGGTGTCTTTATTTCTTTTCTTTTGTGTACTTCTGTCACGAAATGAGATGGCCCTGGCCCCAGCCGTTCCGGTTCTCAACACTGTTCAGCCGGGTTAACTTTTTGTTGCTGACAATCAACAAAAGGAAAGTTTACTTTTCTAAAAAGTACCCCTCTGGAGTTTCAGCCATTCTGTGATTTATTTGTCTTCATTCCTCCCCCACTAAGAGCATGGCCCTGCGGTAAACCCAGATTTGTCAAGGGCAGAACTAAACTCAACCACAGTGTGAAGGAGTTGGGGACCTGGGGAGGGGAGAGGGGGAGACGCTGACAATATACAGTTACAGTAAGTTACAAGCACAAAATCTCCAGTTACTTTGGCATAAGGTTTTACATTTGAAAGTCTCTTCCAGGCGCTTCCTCTTGAACAAAAAACGTTAGAATCCCACAGGAAAGGACAGATGATTTTTTTTTTTTTTTAAAGCCATTTTGAAATACATAAACACAAACGTGTCACCGTAGAGACGACCATCGCTGGAGTTTCTGCGTTGCAGAGTCTCGTACCGATTTTGAGCAGGGGCTCGATTTGTGCGGTAATCGTCGTCAGCCCTTTGCGTGACTCATGCATTCCTGGCTGCTGCAGTAAGATCTGTGTTTATGTGAAATATGGAAACGATTTCCCCAACTCTTTTCTTTTGTGCTGGAGTTTGGACGGAACAGCTGACGCTTTCCTTTGTTATTTTTAAAGGGTCTTCGTTTTCAGTACTGTGGTTCGGGCTTGAGGAGGGACAGCTGGCAGCCTGGCCCGGGCTGGTCTTCATGACATGTCACTGAGGTTCCTGCAGCTAAAACCTGACTCTGCCTCCAGCATCCTTACGTTGAAACGAGAGGCTCCGTCTTCGAAAACTTTGATTTGTCTGACGTTGAAAACAAAATGGAAACTAAAATAGTTGGCAGAGGGGTCGGCACCGAAGGCAGGATTTCTTACCTAGAATTTGTCTTTTTATTGAGAGCCATATGTCTTGTGTCCTGGTGTGTGTGTGTGTGTGTGTGTGTGTGTGTGTGTGTGTGTGTTTCCCCTTCTTTTTTTTTCTTCTTCAGCTGTTCTTCTGCTTGGATCCCATGAGTTTGGGGAAGGTGTAGGCTGAGTTGTGAAGGGCCCAGAGTTTAGCAGTAGGAAAAGAAAAGCCAAAAGCGAGTGTGTGTTCCTCCCCACTTTGAAACAGTTTATCCTTCTAAAAAAGAAAGTTTCGTGAAAATGGTCCTAGGCCATAAAGGAGCCTATAACCTGCTTTCATCGCGTCCAAACCTACATTCTCATTATGTCTCGAGCAATCCTTTTAGTGTCTTGGCAGATAGGGTTTCTCCCTTCACAGCACGGTGTTTTTCCAACTGCAGAGTTATAGCTGCTTCATGTGCCATGACACATGGCTAGGTGTCAAGATATTTTATAGGGAAAAGAAACTCAAGACTTCTAAAACACGCAACTTTCAGGGGAAAAAAGCACCAGTTTTCCAAGAGAGTTTTAAATACAGGGCATTCATGGGTTTATGCTTCCTTCAGATGGGCAGATCTCTTCAAAGATGGCATTATAAAAAGAGGACGTGCATGTCACTCATTCGTTAGCCGAGTCCCGAAAAGGTGTAGCTGTCTTGAAGGACCAGGTGCTGGGGACACAGGGATGAGTGTCACTCTCGGACCTTTAAAGAGCTCCATTTTACTAAGGAGTCAGAGACATGAATAAGAATTCATGGTCCCGGTGGCAGAAAGGGGGGCTGGGGAACTTTGCTGGGGTGGGTGGGGGTGGATGCCTGGTGCCCAGAGAAGGCCCCCTAAGAGGGGAGAGGCTTCAGGGGAATCTTGAGGAACAGAAGGAGTTTGCCCGGTCTAAGAGTGTGGGAGGTTTTGCAGGCAGAAGAAAAGCAAATGCGAAGGCACGAAATTGGGAAGCAGCAAGGCATGTCTGGAGAACGAATCCTAACTCAGAGAGGCTGGAGTTGCATGTAGGATGTGACGGGGAGAAAGGCAGGCGTGGAACTAGGCCAGGAAGCCTAGGGCCAACTTCGGGGGGCCTTCGCCAGCTCCCCCCACTCGAGAAGCCTTCTCTGATCAGTATGGTCCTTCATCTCCTTTCTCCGCTTTAGCCTTCTTCTTGACACTTAGCGCCCGACCTGTTGCAGGTCATTGTGTTTGTGGCCTGTGTCCTGTTAGGATGGAAGCCACGAAATCACAGACTTTCTTCGGGGGA